TTTTTTGTTTTTTTTTTTTTTTTTTGGTACCTGGGATTGAACTCGGGTCCTTGTGTTTGTGAGGCAGGCAGCAGAACCACTGAGCTAAATCCCCAGCCCTGGCATTGAGTATTTTGTCCCAGTGTCATGGCTTACATCTAGATGTCCCCCCAAAGCCCCATGCACTAGCTCACAGGTGGGGATTTTTGTGGGGGAGGTGACTAGGTCACTGGCTCAGTCCACAATGGGTTTAGAGCTGGGTATGATGCTGGGGGGTACACCTTGTGTGAGGAGGTGGGTCACTGTGGGTATGGCCTGGAGATAGATAAAAATACACCTTTTTAAAAAATCTGCCTTGAGATATAAATATATCTATTTTTTAAAATCTGCCTTGAGTGCTGCTGCTTCCTGCCCACCATGCTATGAACTGTTTATCTTCTGCCACACCACCCTGCCTTGGAACCAGCGAAGTATGGACTGAAACCTCTACAAACTGTGAGCTAAAAAGAAAACCTTTCCTCTAACTTATGAGTGTCGGGTATTTTATCCCAGCTGTGAAAAAATAAGACACAGACTTGAGATTAAGGGCAATGGACTAATTAACCTGGTGGAAAAAATTTCAAAGTGATCTAATGTTGAGGGCTTCCAGCCAGATGTACCTTTATAATCAAGAGCAAACACCAGAATGATTTAACACATTTATGCCAGGGCCATAATTTGTCTCTCACTGCTGGGAGTTCTAAACCACTGGTGGTACATGCACAATTGTACCATAAGGTGGCTCAGTTTATAAAAACCAATAAAAGTGATTCGATCTGTTTGTACCACCAGTGGTTCAAGCTAGCAGGAACGTGCCAGACAGCAACGGCACTGCCATTTAATGTGAGCAAAGCTGTCTGAAGGACTGACAGGGACACTGAGCCTGTGAGGACCTACAGGATTGGCACTGAACTAAAACAAAGAACCTTAAAGTCTTCAAAGTTTACAGACTGTACTTCAGGAGGCGACCATAACTCGTTAGCAACTAGATGCAAAATTTATCACAAGTATTCTGTATGAGAACAGTGTAATCACTATTGATGCAAAATTCTTCTCAGACTTAAGAGTGATGTGGACACAGCTGATGTGGCTTGTTATTTTGAAAATGATATTAAAGTGAGTCCTTATTCCATTCTAAGAAAACAGACCAGAGAGTAATTAAATGGTGACCAACTGGATCTGAACCCTGGCATGAAAAAGTACCTGCACTTTCAATGCAGGGCCAGCAGCTACTGCTACTGCTATCACTGTGGCTGCAACAACAGAAATTATCACTGGAATTGTGCTGGTAATTTCCAGAAAGAAGAAAACAAATTATAAGAAGGCTGAGATAAAGGAGACAAGTAAGATGCACAGAGAACTCAATGCCTAGTTAACTGTAATGTGAAGATTAACCACACAGCAAATCAGCAAATTCAGATTACAAATGCATGAACATGGGACAAAATGATCTTTGAGTATTAGTTCTTATTTAAAGTCACGTATTTGTAAAAGAGAAACCTATGACAGCTTGAAATTTGCATTACCAATCTTAAAAATCTGACTGTAAGGATCTTATCTATGCAGATTTAAATAAGACCCAGAACATGGACTGCACAGTTAAAATATATGTGCGATACTGAAGAGTGTTAAATATCCCACAGTAGTCTGAAGGACACTGTCTCATTTGTGACTGAAAGGCACCTTTCTATTTGTGTCAACTTTTTTTAGAAATTTAAAACATACTTAAGGTTTAGAATTTGAACATTTTTTAAACTGAAATTTCATTAATCTGCCACTTCATTAAAAGGTATTTCTGAAGCATGTATTTTCATGCAAATAATTATTTTTCTTTTTTTGCGGTACCGAGGTTCAAACTCAGGACTTTGCACTTGCCAGGCAGACAGCATCACTGGGCTACATCCCCAGCCCCAAATAATCCTCTTTTCAATGAAACACACATAATGAAATATTTTAGTAAATCAAATTCCCTAAACTGCAGTTTCCATAAGTATAAACATTTTATTTCAATTAAAGGCAGCAGAAATACAAAATAAGAGGTTTTGATAATTATAAAGTAGAGACAATGAAAAATCTCACCCTATTTTCAGGCCTTTAAAGTCTCAAGCATTCTGTTTGGACAGATTTTTATGTAAACAGCTAGGAATTTACATGACACTAAGGTCTTGGCAACTCACTTTCTCTGGATGCTGTGTAACCCATCACCACATACTAAATTTTCAATTTCTTCAAAGCACTGTTACCACAGAGCACTGATCTACAGAGTAATTTAAAAAGACTATACAAACTGAATTGTAACATCTTCAATACCTCAGATTACGACTTTCACCAACCTGTAAAACACTGCAACTGTGATTCTCTATTCTCTATGCTTCAGCGGGAGACAGGTTCTAACCTCAGCGACCTTCACTCTTAAGCCTGAGCATCTCATGCTAAGCTAATTAGTACTTCTTAAAGCTTTATTCTTTTAGAACATCTGGGCGACAATAAACATTTAAAGTCATAAATAATGCAACATTAATTTCAGTGACATGATTCATTTGGTAATCAGTTGCCCAAAATATACAGAGGAGTAGACACAAACGTGTTTAACAACATGCTTTCTAAAAAAGGGAAACATAATTAAATATTTCAGGATATTAATAGTCCACCATTCCGTTCAGTGAGTCCGCATCCCTTATCTGATCTCAGCCTTGTCTTCTGAGCAAAGGCATCTCACAGTGATGACTAAGTCTGATTTTTAATCATGTGCATTTTATACATTTTATACCTAAAGCAAGCCAACTCTCTAAATACACAAAACCATGTAAACAGTACTTTTAGGTGATAAGAATTATTCTGACTACATATAATTCTTACCAAACACCATGACAAGCACCAGATTTCCACTGTAACACATTTTGAAACTTAATCCTGTTCTGACTGTTGTCTTTATCTTCCTCAAGATGTGTCCTCGTTTAAAGAGCTGATGCTTGGTAGGTCTAAAATCCAGTTATTGCTGAAATAGCTGTCACTGAAGTTGTGTTGTCTTGATGGGAATAACACTATTAAAGTCCAAGAAAAAAGGTCCTTCTTGTTTAGGCAAAAAAGTACTGGGAATAATATTAAAGATCCCAGCTGGTATGTTTTCTAA